TCTCCTCTCCTCTCCTCTCACGATGCCGGTGCCCCTGGTGATACTGTGAAAGCGTGAGCCCATTTCTCCTTGTGAACCTGGTCTGATCAGTACCTACCACCCACCTGCCATTTCCTCTGATGTTTGTAGGTAAGCAGAAATACCTCTGTGCCAGCCGGAACGACTGCACCATCGACAAGTTCAGAAGGAAAAACTGCCCGTCCTGCCGCCTGCGGAAGTGCTACGAAGCTGGGATGACGCTCGGAGGTACTGTCTGAATAACATCCCCTGGGTCGTCGCGGTGGGCTGGGGCAGCCGGGCTAATCCTGCAGATAACGAATGTACTTGGCATATTAATAGGCAGGCAGTGTCTGAAAAAGTGAGGCTGGTGGAGTGCAATGAGCTCCGGGAAGCATTCGTAGGTTTCTCATACCAAAACTGTGAATTTCATTAAACTTTTGTTTGACTTTCAGGAAACATTCTTTTCCTTAATTTAAAACCTTGTTAATCTGAAAAAATGTAAACGGCCGGGTTAGCTGGATTCTCGCTCACAGCAAAGCCTCTTTGAACAGAGCACTCCCATTTTAAGATGCTTTTTCCCAGGCATCAAGGGGCATTTTTCTTTATAAAATTACAGGCCCGGTGTTTGATTAAACTTTTGTTTGACTTTCAGGAAACATTCTTTTCCTTAATTTAAAACCTTGTTAATCTGAAAAAATGTAAACGGCCGGGTTAGCTGGATTCTCGCTCACAGCAAAGCCTCTTTGAACAGAGCACTCCCATTTTAAGATGCTTTTTCCCAGGCATCAAGGGGCATTTTTCTTTATAAAATTACAGGCCCGGTGTTTGTCTTTGCTGAATGGAAGTTGCTCCTGTATCACTGGTAAAGATCCTTGTTACAGTTTGTTCCAAAACCTGTAGCTCTGCCAGTACCTGACAGAGTGCCCGTATCCAAAAATCTGAGGTTTTCTGCTCAAAATGTAGAAGCTACAATGTAGATCACTGGGTGGTTCATCTTTGAGTTCATTTGATGTGAGAGCGAGGAAGAAAATACCCTGAAAAACGGGGCCGGGGGACCTGACCCACGATGGAAAGGCCCCTGGCAGCGAAGCGGGGGGAATCGTGGGTGATACCGAAAGGAAAGCCGCTGGCACGTCAGGCACCGCGCAGACGGAAGCGGGGGAGCCCCGGCTAGCCAGATGTGCCAATGTCTTAGTTTAAGTACTTCACCATTGCTGGGATGGGCAGTGCCTCCCGGAGCTGCTGGACTGCTGGAACGTTGTCTTGAAGAACTTGCTACCGAAATGGTTCTGGCTTCTTGCTCATCAAGGAGCGGTGGTTTTAATTTTATTTCTCCGCAGAACAGTTCTTCCAGCGCAGGTACCAGCAAACACATCCAGTTGGCAGGGCAGGAGCCAGCCTCCTCCCCGCTGCTTTCGCAGCAGCGGATGGTAAATCTGAGCGCGGTGGGGACACAGCTCTTGGGTGAGGGGTGATGCAGAGACACGCGGCTCGCTCTTTTCCTCCTGGTAGCGAGCAAAAAAACCAAATGCCCCAAAAGGTAATGCAGTCGTA